AAATGACTCAATGACCCTTAGTGAACATTCAAAGAATTTGAAACGTCTCAGGTGATTTCCATGCACAACTCAGCCCAAGACATCGCTGGTGACGGCTTCGTTGTGGTGCATGATAAGCCCTGTGTAGTTCGACAAGTTCACGAGGACCACAGGCAACGCCAGGGCCAAGTCAAATCGGGTGTTCGCCAGGCTGAGGTTCAAACTCTCCACTTCCATCTCCACTTCCACAGGAACCTCGACTGGCTCAGTCCCAAACTTGAAGGCATCAGAGAAGACGCCAAGCAGGATTGCTTGGAGGAATTGCTTCATTGTGTTGAGAACAGGATCGCTCGGAAAAGAAGATCGCCCGACCCTTGATCCAACGCTGAGTCGGGTGAGCGTTTGAATGCCACTGATCAATCTCAGCACTGTTCAGTCAAAGCATGGCCGATTTTCTGCATGTTTACTACCAATCTGGTTGCCAAGTCCAAAACAATTCAGAAACTGTCCTTCTCTTGCAAGGCTTAGCCTCTCTCCAAGATCGCACACTATAGTAACTATAGTAGTTGATCATGGCAATGAGAAAAATACAGATTGCAAATGACTATCGCTGAAAAGGGTGGATGCCGCTTGCCATGACAAAATCTGCAGACTGAGTGAAAACGGCTCAGAAAATTGAAAGCATCTTGCAGCCTGGCAAAGTATTCTCAGGCCTGGACTGTCTGATGAGAGCAGCCATTGTAAAGCCTTGGTTGTTGCCCTCGTCAATTCATTCTGATTTGAAGTCTAAATGTCTCAAAGTGAACTTGGCAGGTCCTTGAAGTGGCAAAAACATCAAGCCCATAGTAAAAAATAACTACCATTTGCTTACAGCACGCCTGGTAGCTCCTTAGCTCTTTCTTTCAAAGGGTATCTGGGTACCTCTGGGTACCCCTGCCTCCTTAGCTCCCACCAGCAACTTTGACAGCCAGCCAGAACCCATGGGGCCGCGGCTCCCCATCGCCAGGGCCATGTCCTTGCCCCACTCGTCATAGGCTCAACCTTGGTGCTCCGAGACATGAGCCACGGAATGCTTCGTGCATGGTAAGCAATGGCATCATCTCAGCCCGTGGGGCAGTGATCATCAAGTGTGATACTTAGCCATGTTCTGACAGATGGATTTGAATGAGCTTCACTATAGTAGAACCACCTGAGACACGGTTTGTTTCGTATCTGAAATGGGCCGCCTGAGCATAGCCATGGCGGTACATGGATCAGCTCAGGTACACAACAAATCGCTGTCGAGGTTTCTACCTATACGAATACATGGAGAATTGGAAAATCCGTTGGGAAATTTTGATAGAGAAATCAAAGAACTGAAACAACATGATTAAAAAGTGATTTCCAAAGAAGAAAAAAGTGATTTCCTCAACCAGTTGACGAAGAAGTGTCTGCAGATTCTGCAGCAGTTCTTTCAGTTTAAAAAAGTAATGCACTGCGGATCTGTTGACGAAAAAAACAGCCAGAAACCAATCAAATGCTCCATGTAAGGTTTCTTTTAAACAGCCAGGGGAAAAATCTTAGCGCAAACCATGGCATCCATGGCAATGCCGTGCGAACACTAAACATACTAAACTCAATCTCAAAATCTTCGGGGTAAGCAGCAGCGCTCCTGGTGAAAAATCGCTACTCGTTGAGGATACCGATCTCTTGGACTGAGACTATACAGACGGCAAACGGAAAACATATGTTTCAAACTATTTATAGTTTATCATTGAGATGTATCCAAGCACAGAAAGGGATGAAAAGAGTCCAAAGAATATGCTCATCCGCAGATGACATGGGCTTTTTCCGTGCTTGGAAACGGCTAATTTTGGATGCTGGCTACATCTTTGGATGACGTTTGTACAAGACCTGAAGCCATCCTCCGCCAGGCTCCTGCATCTCATTTCGGAGATTGCACGTCTGTGACGAAAGGTATTTAACCGATAACCAATTGATCAATTTGGTGGTTGGTAACTCGAAAGCTACAACATGAAAGTCTCAAAAGATAGGCTTGCTGGGGTCTGAGGGGGAGGGGGTCAAAAAAAAGAACACGCTTTAGGCTTTCCAGAAGTCTCGAGGAGGAGAGAAAGGGAAAAAAAATATCCATCTCTATAGAAAGCTTAGTAGCGATATATTATATCAATCCAAGTTTTGACCCATATCTTTCCATTCCTCTTTATGCATAAAGCGAATATGGCTGAAGGTTAAGATTTATTAGACAGTGTAACAATCATTGACTTGATACTCTAAGTTTGTATATTAGCATATATTAACACAAACAAAACATATTTGAAACATACTGTAACCTTTTTTGATTGATCTTAGTGACCTAAGCCAACGAGTTAAAAGTATCACAAAGACTATTGAAACAATGAGCATGTGATGTCATGGTGACCAACGACACTTTTTAGTGGTGTTTTCAAAATATCGTAAAAATCAGCCCTCCACATCCTCCACAACGTGCCATTTTAAAGAATAAATGTCTATAAATGTCATATTTACAAGTACAAATAAACATGATTTGAGTATATTAAATATGTATGTTATATATATATATTATATATCTATCTACATTGTCAATGCCACATTATCCTCGGCAGAAGATTCGACGAGATGACTCTGGAACTCGGCCAGGACAGCCAGGACAAGCTGGGGAGCTGAACTCGGGATGCGGTGGTGGCCAAAGGGTCGTCGGTCGAAATTGCGCTTCCGACGTCCTCATGGTGGGCTCAGCTTGCAAACCTACAAAAATGCTGAAGAAAAAGCGCGCAAAAAAACTAGCATTGTTGGACATGTCTTGGAAATCATGCTTCAAGTGTGAGAAGAACAGAGAAAGAACTTTTTAATATGCATAAATTGCATGGGTAAAGCTAAACTTAATCGTGACACAGCTGCAGTCCTCTCCGCCATCTGTCAACAAGTTTTTGACCCTGGTGAAAGTCATGGGATCCTTTGTCAGCCTTGCTGGTCATGTCTTGATCCTTCTGTGGTACATGGTAGGAAGATCCTTGAAAGATTGAAAAGTGGGCCACATTAGTCACATTGTCTTGTCCAGGAAGTCCAATTTTTCTAGGCTTCTACGTCTTTGCAATTCAACTTCCATCTAGCGAGTGACTAGACCCTTGTTTCTGCAAGTTGGTGGTGATGTTTCATCTTATGCTTCTTCTTCTTCTTCTCCTTCTTATTCTTCTTCTTCGCATTCATCCCAGTGAACGTGCCAAGGTTACTGGGTTTTGACTCGTCCCCCCCAAATTCCTCGTTCGAACGCCTCCTTCGGTCGCCACACGCACACCTGTGTCAGTAGCGAAGGCACAAGGGAACTGTACGGCATGATGTGGCGTTTGTCAACCCATCGTGTTTAATGAATACCACCGAATTCCTTTGCTTTTGGGGTAGTATTTTTGAGCCTGCTGAGGGACCTCTTTTGCATTGGGTATGTAGTACCCCAATCAAGTGAATTAATTCCCAGTTCAGAACTGAATGCATAGAAATTCTCGACGAGAATTAGAAACCTGCACCCTTTCTTTGAGGAATGCCACAGAATTCCATTGGTTTTCATGGGAGCCACACAGACACAAAGCGCTACAGTCGTCGGGCCCGCAGGTGACCTTCTCAAACCTATACCGGACGTCCTGAAAGACAATATTCTATGTGTACCTTTAAGCAATGTTCATAATGTTCTATGTCCGTTGTTTCTATTTTGGAAGATGTCCCAAGACGACCCTTAAATATTCATGCCACAACATGCCACCATGTTTTTTTCGGTCATATCCCCCCCAATCCGGGGGATTTCCGTGCCTTCTCCTTGCGCAGAGCCTTGCACATCGCCTACAAGACCACGTCGTGGTCTTGTAGCCGATATAATGCACCGTCACCTGGGGAAAGAAACCAGCTGGCTGAACTGAAATGCTGAAACCAGACGCTAAGACTGCCAAACCGACCAAAGGTTTGCAAAGAATTTGAACATTTCTAGAATGCCTCAAGGTAATCAAGGCCAGGTGGCACAACTTTTTGGGTCCTTGTTACGGTCTTAAATCTCCAGATGTGGAATCCAGCGGGGTAGAATCTACCATCGCCATGGTACTTGGCGTGAAGCCTCATCCCAACGAACAAATGTCCGACCATGGCGCGCGATTGGACGAAACTGGGGAAGGAAGGCGTCGCCTTGTCTTGTTCTGGCCAAATGGCGGCAAAGCGATTTGATGCACCATGATGCGCCGATACACTCAGGTTATGGATGGTTGTTGACTTCCGCAAGCGGCTCAAAGGGACAAGGGAAATCACGATTTGCCAATACGGTACGTACTATACCTGGTATTGTATGTTTTACATGCAACCAGTACAACACAACTTTATACTTTATACATACCTAATCACCTTATATATTGATCCTCGGGGACACGTGCTGGAACCCAAATTTGTACCTTCTCAAACCATTGCTGTCCTTGAGGAAGAACTAGCCACGCTGTGCATTCTTTTCCTGCTCGGCCCACACGTGAAATTAGTCTGCTGCCGAACCTTCTCAAGCTGAAACGCTTGGGCTGGAGGGAAGCGCTTCCCCCTCTAGCAGACTTGTCCTGCCTTTGCCCGAGGGTCTCAAGCAAAAAACCACACGAAGCTCTGTAGTTTCTTTGTGTAGTGAAAGAGAAACCATGTGAAAACGATTGAAAACGCGCTACACGGATATTGCTTGTTGACCATCTCTTAAAGATGCCTCATCCTAATGACTAGTTTGCCTGAAGGCCTTGGGCCTTGGCTAGCCATCAAAAAATTGAAGATTGACATTTTAAGATATGTTAGTTCAGAGTTCATGTCTTGTTTGGAATGTGAAAAAACAAAGTTGGTCAAACCATTAAATTTGTCACCATCAAACACTCTTAATTAAACCAATGAACTGGACTTCAATGAACATTTCAATGAACAAAGTGACCATTTCACGACCAACACGTGACCAAAACGACCAAGCATTCTTTGGCAGGTCGGCAGGTCAAGGATGGTCAAGGTCTCAGACTGATTGTCCAACCATTGGACGAAGCACTTGTGGAGAGGGAGCCCGTGCGCCAGCTTATGACCGCGAAGTTTCCATACCTGCGTCAAGACCAGCTACAAATCATCGACTAATCGACTAAACAAGGAATATCCCCAGATTGAAACAAACGGTTGACTTCCAGTCTTTGCAGCTGCAAAGGCCAACATGCTTTGCAAGAACCATCAATCCCATTGAAAGTGTGCTGCGTTGCATGTCTTAGCTGCCGCTGCCAGGAAAGTCACACTAATCATTTCTCTCTTTCTGTCTCTCCCTGCTGAAACTTATACAGCCACGCTGCGGCAGCGTGTGGAAAACAGAGTTCTGTGGCAGTTCGTCTCCAGCACAAAACTCATCAAACACGTCCTGGGCAATGAAGGCCGAGAAGAAAGGAAAGTATAAGAAAGGCTGCTCGCCATCCCTTGTGTCTGTTCAACGCACGGATGTGAAAGCCAAACCAAAGAAGTCAGAAGACACCCAAAGAGAGTTGGGAGATGTTGCAGGCACCGTGACAATTGCGAAGGACTTGGGTGTGCATTGAATTCGTTTTGCATCTAGGCTCTCGCATTGACCTCTCAACTTGAAGCAAGACTATCAAATGCCAAGGGATCATTCGCACTCCTATCTCAGCTATCTCAAACCGAATTCCTCATCCCTTCGCGGCCATATGGCGTCAATTTGAACCAAGGAACTCCAACAGAAATTGCCAAGCGCGCCTCTTCACATGGGTCTTCTTCTCCAGTGTTACCAGCAAGATCCAGTGCCTGTCCAACGAGTCCAACGAACCAAAACGAGTCCAACGAGGTCGGGCATGGTAAATATCCTTTTTCTCAGTACCAATATTGGATATTTTAACACAGCTATTGAACATGGCCATAGAAATAGTTGGTTTATGTTGGTTTATGTTGGTTTATCTGTGAACATATCGAGCATCAAATATCCAATCTCTAGACAGTTCTCCCTCGTGCTGCCTCCAAGGTAAGATTCACAGGGCCAAAGGCTGCCACATGCGCTCGCCGTTGGCTGCTGTAGCCTTGCACACGAAGCTCGCGGGCCAGATCCTCAACTTCCGAGCGAAATAATGATGGTAGCTACGAGCTACTTGGGGATTAAGCAACTGTTCAACGGAGATATATTGAGGATACATACATACATATATATATGTATGTATGTATGTATGTATGTATGTATGTATGTATGTATGTATGTATGTATGTATGTATGTATGTATGTATGTATGTATGTATGTATGTATGTATGTATGTATGTATGTAATGTATCTCTGTATGTCTGTATCTCTGTATGTATCTGTATGTATCTGTATGTCTATGTGTGTATCTATGTATCTATGTAATGTCTATGTCTCTTATGTATCTGTCTCTGTAACTCTGTATCTATGTATCCGATGTATCTATGTAGCTATGGATCTATGTATCTATGTATCTATGTATCTATGTATCTATGTATCTATGTATCTATGTATCTATGTATCTATGTATCTATGTATCTATGTATCTATGTATCTATGTATCTATGTATCTATGTATCTATGTATCTATGTATCTATGTATCTATGTATCTATGGATCTATGTATCTATGTATCTATGTATCTATGTATCTATGTATCTATGTATCATGTAATGTATCTATGTATCTATGTATCTATGTATCTTATGTATCTATGTATCTATGTATCTATGTATCTATGTATCTATGTATCTATGTATCTATGTGTCTATGTATCGATGTATTAATGGTAATGTAAGTATGTATGTATGTATGTATGTATGTATGTATGTATGTATGTATGTATCTGTATGTATGTATGTCATGTATGTATCTGTATGTATGTATGTATGTCTGACTTGTATGTATCGTTGTATGTATTATGGATGATATGTTGTATTTATGTATTATGTCTCTGTAAGTATGTATGTATGTATGGTATTTCTGTATGGTATTATGTCTGTATGGTATGTATGTTATGTAAGTCATGTATGTCTGGCCATAGTATGTATGTATGTATGTATGTATGTATGTATGTATGTATGTATGTATGTATGTATGTATGTATGTATGTATGTATGTATGTATGTATGTATGTATGTATGTATGTATGTATGTATGTATGTATGTATGTATGTATGTATGTATGTATGTATGTATATGGAGATTGTCATGCGAATATTGGACTTTTCGCCCACATCGAAAGGAAGCTAACTGCAAGAGCTACTGTGCAAAAGCGCAAGGCTGACCCCTTATTCCCAACCGTCTGTGACTGCCCCTGGCATATAGATCCGGCAAACCTTTCCCCCATCAGCAGAACTATGAACTATGAATCAAATTCCAAATGCAACCGGACATCATTTGAGTGTTGTTACCTGCGGCTTTCATGATGCAAAGTTGCAGGGAAGGGTCCTTGAAATTAGGAGAAAAGGTGTGGGATGTGATATATCCAAGACATTCCAAGACCTATTGAGGCCCTAACTCAATGCTTAGTGTGACCTTCGTGCCATGTGCCATTGAAGAAAGGATGGGGAATGCATCCCGGCGTCATTGCTATAGATCTGCACAACGCCACCTACCTGCCGGACAGCTCGGGCGATGACACAAGCCTCACATCGAAACCATATTAATGTCAACCCCGGATTAATAAACCATGGTTTATTAATTAGGGAGGTACTCCTCCAATAGTCATAATCTGATACTTAAATGGTACCCTCCCAATTAAACAGCCGTTTGGGGTTTATTAATCCAGGGTTGACATTATGGATATTAGTTGACCTCCACAACTCTGCTGAAAGTATGACGTCATATATTTACTGCTTGGTGGTTGAGCCCTACCCCTCCGAAAAATGATGGAGTGAGTAACAGTTGGGATGATGACATTCCATTCCCAATATGATGGAAAAATCATGCAGTCATGTTCCAAACCACCAACCAGATCACCATCATATTCCCATTGTTGTTGGTTTATACCCTATTAACCACTATTATATAATATCACTATTTTCCAACCAGATGACAATATATTTACCACAAGAACACATCTGCTGAAAGGAATCGCTCCGATCGACCTCACCGACCTCACCTCATCCAGCACTCCAAAGGCGGCAGCTGGGACCAGTTGGACATCCGCTTGGCTCAGAAGTCCTGACAGCCTGGAAAGCTCCTGGCAGGACGAGACATTGCACCAAAATCTTACCAAGAACCGCAAACAATGCTGACATACGCAAAAGAACATGAAACAATACAAGAGAAGGATAAAGAATTTGATTGATATTAAAATAATTTATATGTTGTAACTATCAAAGAAATCCTCAAGTTCCGCAGAACCCAAGAGCAAATACGCTAAACATCAAATCTCAACAACAACACCGGCTCCGTCTGAGGAATTGCAGAACTGTCCGCTGCTTGTAGAAAAAGCACATCACTGACAGGTCCTGTCAAGCCGACCGATCTGGCTCTTGAAGAACTTTTATACACCTGATGATAGGTAAAAGAATTCAGAGTTAGAGTTTGCACGTTTTGCTTGAGCTTGGCTCCTTCCCCAAAGGCATTCACTGCTGCAACCTGTCAGGTTTCGCTGCCGGAAACGCACGGATATCTCAAATGTTGCAATCTTGCATCAGCTAGCGATGTTTTCTACATGCCTTGCCTGGTAGCCATAGGCTCTGCCAGCGTCCAAGTCGGTATCGTTAAAAAATGGCGTCTGGGTCGTTCCAATCAGCCGGAACAGAGCTTGTCGCAAACCTTGATCTCGGTAGACGTTGTAGTATGCCTGGCAGGTGGTCTGAAGGAAAAGAGCACGGAACTCCTCTGGGTAAAGTAAACTGCCAGTATTGTGCCGATGGACATTCAACTTTCTTTTCTGAAGATTCTTCTTGACAGAGCCTTCCCGCATTGAACCCTGTGACCCCTGTACCCTTTGCACCGTGTCAGCGCCCACGGAGTTTGCAGGTGCGTTCCACGCCAAAGCTAGCGCAGCTCGATCTTCGGTGAGCTGGTACGATGCCACCTGTTGAGCGAAGACAGGCGGCATCTGATTAGGAAAGTTTCCCCAGAAACATTGTCTTTAGAAAAGCACCTCATAATCCTACAATATCCTACATATCTTATCATGTTTTGCAAAAGCTTCAACCCTGTGAGAAGTTCTGTGAATGCACGGTGGGAATCTGTCCCCCAAAATTTTCCAGCTTCGACTGAGCATCTTACAGCAGCGCCTCTCTAAGATTGGAGATGCTGCCTGGTCTGAGGAAGCAGCCGGTCGTCAACGGCGTGCTCAACGTTGACCTCAAGTGGCAGCATGTTCAAACTTTCTTCGAGCCTAGGCCCTTTCCAAGCACTTCCATGGCACTTGGCTCTTTATATATATATATATATTAATAGATATATATATATATATAGATATAGATATATATATATATATAGATATATATATATATATATATTAATAGATATTGTGAATTGGAGTTTCCTTCCAATACGTATCCGGTATGTAGTAGAGTTGTCACCTGTCGATGCTGATCAACGCAGAGCTTCGGCCATTGCTTTCTTTTCCGTGGAGCTGTGCAGTAAAGGATCTTGAGCCAAAGGGGCAATGGATTCGGACGCCCCTTGGCTGGAAACTGTTGACTTGCTATACATGGGGAATGTGATATGTATTCCTGTCGTTTCCCCATTCGCACCCCCCACGCATGACTGATTTTATCAGTCACGCGCAGGAGAGTCAATTGAAATTTTCCACTCTGCACTTACGTTTGTTGAATTAGAGAGAGTTGAAAGTTCATTCAGAACTATACGTCTACACTGCGGCTTGCTACAATCTCTACAAAAGGAATGATCTGTTCACATGCATACTGACAAGACGTGGTCTATGTACAGCTTTGAGGTTCATCTGACGTGGCGTTGCCAACGTGCAGAATTCCACTCAAGCATGATAAGAACAAAAAAAATGATGGACTACGGAGCTAGAAGTTTACCTTCCCGCTCTTTCGTCGTTAGAAAAGTAGACCGCTGTAGAAACTCAGCTGTCATGCAATGAAGTCCAAATAAAAAAGATGGTTTTCAAATTGGCCGGCTCAGATTCCTCTCAGTAGTCATCCGTAGCGATGAAGAGGTTGATCATGAGCAATGATTGCTGATCCACATTGCCAGAATCGTTGGGACCTATGCAGAGGTCAGTCGAACTTATCGTCTGTTTCCCCATCCGTAGTATCCCTGATGGTTCCAATCGCCACCACGGTGTGAATAGGATTTGCCTCCTTTCCCGTAGTCTTTTCCACCCTTTTGCGGTGGAGGCACTGGAGCTTGTTTTGGCGGAGGAGCAGCTTCAGCGGCACGCCATGTTGTTGATGATGATGCTTTCGCTTTTGCTACATTGCTCGACTTCGGTGCTGCTTTCGATTTGCCGGCTACCGGTGTGGTGCGCTCACGATTGGGAGGAATCGGAGTATCGGCAATTGCAGTCAAGTGGGTTTCAGACATGTGAATGCCCCACCTAGGCCGTTGGTCATCACGTTGTTTGATGTTGTTGTAGTCTTCGATCGCATCATACAACTTTGCAGTTAGAGGTTGAGGGAGTTGTCGTCCATTTTGAAGGATCAAATGCAATACTGATATTCTTCGGAGTGGTGGTCGAAGTGCACACACGATGTCAACTGGGTTCAGTGTGATTGTGTTTTGGAAATCGACATTCCTGAAGAAATACACAGCATTGACTTTGTAGGCACCGGCAATGATTCTTCTGACCAAGTTTGTTTGTCGGTCGAGGGCCTCGCGGGCATTGGCGGCTTTCCTCATTTCCTCTTCTGTGGTGTCACCTTTTGCCAGCTGTGCGATGTTCTCATCGACAAATAGATTTTGCAGGTCATCAAAGGTATATCCACATTCCAAGGTGTAGGTAATCAACCGCTTGAAGACGATTGCTCCATAATATGCGCTGACGAATCCCTCTTCTCCGATGTCATCCTTTTGGTCAGGTTTGCCGACATCACGGTATAGTTCTCTCATCTGTTGTCCAGTCGGTTCGATGAGATTACCATCATTGTCTTCACCGAGGTAAGGCACTTTCGAGTCCAAATCCAGTCGGAATTTCTTGTTCAATTGGAAGTGCTGCCATGCTGCCTCATAGGTTCCACAAAAGTTCCGTTGGAAAATTCTGTAGATCCTGAGGATGTGCAATCCAATCTGCAAGAGTAAGATCTTGATGAGTTCGGGCTGAGCATCTCCAATCATGCAAGGTTCGATTGGTAGAACTTTTGATCCAAACTCGATCCTTTTCAGCCATGCAGGATACTCAATCACGGCATCACGTGCTTCGTCGGCCTCGTATTCCTCGATGTTGATTTCGCCGCCCTCAGTCTCTTCAGCTTGTTCACGTTCTTCATTGAGAAATTCATCGACTTCATCTTGTTCTCTGTAATCTCTTCTTTCATCAGTGATGTCATTCTCTTTGGACGTTCGATCATCGTCGTCCTCTTCCGGTTGGGCTTCTTCCTGTGGACTTTTCATGGTGACATCAGCATCATCATCTTGCATTGGTTCATCGTCATCGTCCTCTTCCGTCAAATCGACTTTGACTTCTTCCCAAGCCTGCTTGACGTGGTCTTTGACATCTTCTTCTTGAGGACGCGTCTCAGATGTTGGTAAGTTGGCAACTGTGACTTTGATTCTTCTTCTCCATCCGTGGCTGATCAAAAATCCTTTGCAAACGACACATATCGACAATGGAGCAGGAGTCTCACATAGGCATGCGGGGCATAGTCTATGTCCTTCCTTGTTCGGACGATGAGTAACTGCCAGGAGTGATATTGCGTCATACCAGTCTTGATGTCCAGGAAAGAGCCTGTTCGAAAAGCTGATGTGGCTCGTCTTGATGTCGACGAGCTTGCGGAGTTCACTCAGGTCCGGGGAAGATTCATCCGGAACAACATTCCCAATGAGCTTGTCGAATCGGTCGATGGTTGCAATCTTCTGTGCTCCTTGTACAGAGAGTACGATCTGCTCATTTCCTTTTGTGACCATGAGACGGTGATACTTGTCAACTCTCCATTCATAAAACCATGCTGCGTCAAATGAATCGAAGGGAATTGTTTGTTGAACCTAGATGTGTCCGTCTGCTGATACACGAGGGGAGAACTTGGCGATGGATTCATAGGTCAAGTAGATGTAGACAAGGTTTGTCTGATCAATTCTTTTGAATCGCAACACCGTTTGGCTCCGCAAGTCCCAATGCGCGAATGGCACGAAGAACGTGTTGATGCGGCCACCACCTCCTCCAGGACGAAGTCCTTCTCGGAAAATTTGGGCGATGTTCTCAAATGTCATGCAGTGAAATCCTCCTCCAAGAGTATATCCCACACCTGTGTTCATCTGGTAGGAAGTCTTGCTGTCTTCGATGTACACACCGCCTTGAACTCTCGAATGTGCCATAGGAGCTCGAATCGCAACTGGCCAAAGCCAAATCTCTCGCTCCTCAGAGCCGATTTCCAACCTCAGCGTCTGTCTTTCAAGCCTTCTGGTGAATCCATCATCATATTGCTGAATGACTTGTTCCAACTCACCTTTTGTGACCTTGAGTCCAAGCACTTGAGCTCGGAGTCGTTTTGTCTGTTTGTATTCCGTGAAGATAACCTTTTGGAAGCTGTTCCATCTCTCAACGAGGACTGGGTAGTTCACGCGGGAAGTTCCAGCCAATGTGTGTCCATCTTTCCAAATGTAGTCGTACTTCAAGATTGATTCAACATTGACCCAACCTGCTTCATCGCATGGTAGTCCACGATGACCTCGGCTGTCTTTCACGCAACCCACGGAGTGGCGGAGCGCTGCATTGAATCTCTTTGATAGTTCGACAATCCATGGCGGATTTTCCCATCTCTTTCCCATCCACTCGTTTTCACCGTAACATTTGACGTTACTCCATCCATAGCCAAGATATTCTTCACCATTGACGCGCGCCAATTGAAGTACACCGATGTTGTGGCCATATGTGAATGGTTGGATGTACTTAAAGTTCCAGTTCTCTCCACGTTGTTCTCTCTCTTGTTTGAGCCATTTCACATATTCGTCATGATCTTTGGGGTTCCAGGCATTCAGCTCTTCAATGGAAGGTAGCACAGGTGGAGATTCTTCAGCCGCTCGCTCAATGAGGGCATCGAGCTCATGACGGTTTCTCACTCCTTCATCAGGGGGATGGACATCGACACCGTTCACTAAGAATGGTCCTCCTTCTTCTCGATCACCGATCTCGTACATGAAGGCTGGCCGACTGTAGAAGCTTTTGGTCACTTCTTCTTTCTCAGTGAATCTTGTTCTTCTCCATCGTTTTCCCTGTGGCATGATACTCTTCTTTGGGAGCTTGTCCTTTCTGCCCCTTGTTGCAGTTTTGGATCTCTCTGAGGAAGATGGGGATTTTGACTTCTGTTCCATGATCAGTCTCATGCGCAACAATGTATCCCTCATGTTCTCATCATCAGGTGTGGTGCATTCATCAATGTCATGTATTCCACCACAGATGAAGCAATATTGAACAGTCGACGCGTTGGCAATCAACCTCTCAAATTGTTCACGAATATTTCGTACCTCAGTTCGGCGCTTCTTCGCCTCTGAAGGTTGGCCCCCCATGTCCTCTTCATCCTCGTCGACCTCAATGTCATCACCTCCAGCATCTGTTTCTCCCGAAGCCTGTTCCGCTCGAGTTCCTCGCGCCGTAGGCGACGTGGTCTCCTCTTCAGGTTCATCGACTTCTTCCACCTCTTCATCACTTGATGAAATCTCGACCATCTCAGGATGATCATCGTAGTTTGCTGTGGGAGGTACCGGCATTCTGGTGATCTCTTTCCGCACGAGCAGGTCAAGGATTCCTGCTTCTCTCAGGACTGTCGTCACCATGTTGTTTTCGACCGATGGTATGTATGCCCTCCTTGACCGATTCCGCTTCGTGTTGATGGTGTCTGTAGGTCGGCATGAATTGCTGAAAAGCCAGAATGACTCTTCCAATCCTGCAAGACAACTGTCAAGGCTTGCCCCCCATCCACCAAA